TTTTCACACTTTTCCCTGTGGTGGGTATGCACGGAAAAGGTTACACGCCGTAAGGGTTAACCTTGAGTGGTTTTTGCAATTGAAATCTAAGTGTGAGTGTTCTAGGCGTCAAACTGAGTCATCCTACTTAAATTACAAATCTTCCGATAAAACCTGCGTGGGCCTCAAGGCGCCAAATCAGGACAATCGAATTATTTATTAAGCAAATAATGACTCACCAGTCATTGAAGTTACAGAGCGCATTCAGGTCACAGCCGAAATGAAACTGAGTATGTAATTTACAGTCACGCGTGACTCAACAACGCGGCCTTCTTGATAGCCCTAATTATTCCAACTTCCAACGTGATAGTTGAATAATCCCACACACTTCAAGATAGCTCTGTAACTAATCTCCTTAGGGGAGGTCTGCAGGTAAATGTGGCGATCGGGGTATCTGATTTACGCCCAATATGTTTCTCTTCCTCTTGCCTGCATACTACACTACGTGGATGATAACTGACAGTCACTTTGATGCTTGGATTTATAACAACTGTCGAGGACTGATGAAGGTCTTCTTCAGATAGAATTCCAATAAACTGCCACAGAGGACGACTAATTCACAAAGCAATGTAACCCTCAAGTGAATAGCCATGAAAGGAGCCACGACAAATCTTCAATGTATCATTCAAGTCTCGATTGATCGGATTGTTCTGATGCTGCGGATCTAGCTTTCAGAACGTAGCACTCTAGCTGTTACACTCATTGATAGTTTCTAACATACTTTGCCCTGCGATATGACGCCATAATAAGCGACGCGGTCGGGAATCAAGGGACGAAAAATTAGATCCTTGTTTTTCAGAGCTTAAACTGTAGGGGACTATTGTCAACACCTGTCAGTGGTGTCCCCTACGAACCTCCAGCTCTCACTGTAGAGTCTGCAGAGCCGAGATTGAGTAACAAAGTTTTTACTTCGATGAGTATTCCCAATCGCGTATGCGGTCTGTATCGTCTTCATCTCTCAACACATTCCCCCATCATAATTGTCATGAAGCTAACAACGATCAGATCAGGTGGTGGGGTCGGAGCCCTACTCATCACCCACCCTTGGTCATGGAGGTGAAGCCATCTGATAAGTTTCCGGAGCGTACCCAGCACCCGGTACGGCGATGGTGGATTGGATCAAGATGGCATCGACTGTTACAAAGAAGGGAGATATAGATGAATATGTGCATCTCATGTGGTCCCGGCGTCTTGGCCTCGCCTGGCTGGGGCTAAAGGTTTTTTGGGACTTATTTCCACGCACGCAGTTTCCATTGCTACCATTTTTTTTCTACATCTTTTTGGGAAAAAGATTCCGTAGAAAACGTGGCTGAATTCTACAGGTAATTACTGAGCTGAATGGCTATTCATCAAGGGCAATATTTTGGTATGAAATAACAATTGTGTTAGGGGGGACTATTCTCAACACCTGTCAGTGGTGTCCCCTACGAACCTCCAGCTCTCACTGTAGAGTCTGTAGAGCCGAGATTGAGTAACAAAGTCCTCACTTCGAAGAGGATTCCCAATCGCTTTCGCGGTCTGTATCGTCTTCATCTCTCAACACATTCCCCTATCACCACTATCATGAAGCTAACCACGATCAGATCAGATGGTAGGGTCGGAGCCCTACTCGTCACCCGCCCTTGATCATGGAGGAAAAGCCATCCGATGAGTTTCCGGAGCGTACCCAGCACCCGATACGGAGATGGTGGATTGGATCAAGTCGACCTCGACTGTTACAAAGAAGGGAGATATAGATGAATATGCGCACCTCATGTGGACCCGGTGTCTAGGCCTCGCCTGGCTATGGCTGCAGGTTTTTTGAGACTTTTTCCCGCGCACGCAGTTTCCATTGCTACCATTTTATTTTTTTTGGGTAGAAGGTTCCGTGGAAAAGGTGGCTGAATTCCACGGGTAAATACTGAGCTGAATGGCTATTCATCAAGGGGAATATATCAATGATCTTTCAAGTAACAAAAGAGGATAGGAGCACTGTACAAGGTGTGGCCTGGGTCAGAGAGGAGCCCAATGTGCTAGATAGTCATAGACTCAAGTAGTACAATAAAACACAAACACTCCTACTGGAACTTAAGCACGGGTGGGGCCGGGCCGGATCAGGTTAGCTACCGTAAAGTACATCTGCCTCGTCCCACCTGAATGACCGGACCACCTCAAAATTCACCCATGTGTTAATTCATGTCAAGTCCAACCGTCCAGAGAACCCCCTTTTGGCGCGCCGAAGCGCAATTCCTCCTCAGCCTCGGCCACCACGCGCCCGAGCCCTTGACACCTTCGCCATCTGTAACTTTTCCCTTCGATTCCTTCCCAGTTTTGGCTCATCTCAGCATCCCCTCATCTCACTCAGGGGTCGTTTTCTTCACTGGATTCTGCACTTAGTTTCACTTCGGTAGTAACTTGAATCAATGCGCTCTACAACCTCAATGACTGAGGGGCCATTATTTCCTTATTAAATTGTTATATTAATAATGACTTAACAAAATTAGAATATACATTTCCTCTCATATATACACCAATCATAGTCCACGAGTGATCTAGCTCTGTAGAGCCAACACTAATGCCTTCTACTTGTGTCCTTTACTCGTGTCCTAAACGGAGCGAGTGATCTGTCTTCCTGCCTCTTGTTTAATATCCGAAGGCCACTATCACGTAACCTGGATCTTCCTCAACACAACATGTCACGCAGACTTCCTGCCCAGCTAGTAACCACTAAAAGTCAGGTAAATATGTGACCCACACGTTATTTACCCCGTAATAATATTGTATATATTAGGTCTCAACACATTATGTCAACGATCTTTCAAAAAACACGAGAGGCAAGGAGTACAGTGCAAGGTGTGGCCTAGGTCAGAGAGGAGCCCACCGTGCTAGATTGTCTATGACTCAAGTAGACCAAAAACACACAATCACAGCTTAAACTGTAGCCTAGTGAATCGTTTGAACAGTGGTCAGCAATATATGACAATTTGTCATAGTTATAGACTCAGTAGCGACTTAGATTTAATTCTAACCCTACCACACATTGTCGAAACATGATTGGATCACCAAGAGCTTAGATTAAGTGGTTGACTATGCAGCTTAATTCTTGTCACGAATAAAATCCAGGAACAGAGCTGTGCAGTCCCTTTGCATTCATGCCTTAGTTGTGAGGACTAAATCCAGGCACGACATTCTAGTCCCTGCCCGTCGTGATCAATTACGATATGAAAAGATAACGCCATCCAGCAGAGATGTGGATAGTAGCCAAACTTCTTGTCAACACTATCATGATCTAATGTTATGACTAGGTACCCGTTACTCGGGAACTAAGCCCCTTCCTCCGACTAGCATTCTCAATGGAGCGGGCCTTTGGGCTCGAGCGTGGAGGGGTAGCAACTCCGGTGCAGATAGCAAGATGTGGAGAAGGTTTTCCTGTGCTGTAATAAAAAGTATTTCGCGGTGGAGAAAACCCCGTGTCATGTACCCTACCATGTTACAAGTCAGGCGCTAGTTGTATATCATGGAGTAGTTGAGGCAGCATGTTGAGCAGAAGTTAAGTTGAACTCTGATGGCTTAGGATCACTGGTAAGTTAGTACTCGGCATACGAGAGACTTGAAGGCGTCGAAAATGAAAAAAATGGGTAGACTTCACTCGTAGAATGTAACTTGTAGGATACCCAACTCCGACCGCCATAGCAAGTAGTAATTCAATCCTGTTTCATAAATGTCTGGAGACTGCTTTGTAATTTCTCTCGTCGTCTCATGCAAGTGAGCTGATTCTCTGCTGCCTTGAAGTTTTGCCAGTAATTCCACCTACAAGATGATTTACATACTTAGAAATCCCTCGAAGCCATACAAAAGTCGGGCCGAAGCGACGCAGGCTAAAAATAGTGTATATCAAAATAATCCTCATGCCACCTGCATGGTTAGAAGACTCTAAGAATGAGTTGAATCATGTCATTCTAGCCCTTTAGAAAACATTCAAGCTTCAAGCTGTAGCCGTGTGTATTCCTCAACGAATATATTAACATATTTAAAGCATCCGAGTCCCATTGTCCAGCAAAAGTAATTCCTCACTGTATCTTTTGGCTTTGACTATCATTCAGGGTTTAAACTGAAATGAAAGAGCATAATGCTATCGACATATATTCCTTAATCCCTTCCATATTTTTACAGGTTATTTCTACCTAGGTTTGCTCGTCAGGGTGTGCAGTGGAAGGTGGTAAGCCGCAGCTCTGGCTCCCTCTGATAGCTGGGGAGTACGAGGCTCGCCATTTGTTAAGCTACAATTCCCAAATAGACTAGATTTCATACGTGAATTAGGCTTCAGTTGCGATGAGTCGTTCTTTGACTCGATTGTCGTAATAATATTCGTACTATATAGTGTCATGAATGAAATTTTAGGTCAGGTTCTCATTGACTGAAACATGTCAAATTGTGCTAATCCCTCGCCTCTTCATAATTAAGCCCTGGCCTCGATGGAAGATGATATGTCTTGATTCACAAAGAATATCTCTTTCGGCTGCGAATTTTTTAATTCATCCAAAGCTCAATCATGATGTAGCGCGATCAGTCCAATGTATACCTTGGGAGAGTAATTTTCCTTCTTGGCTCCACCGTGAAATGAGATAGCTGCCGAATTATTTTGTAGATTATTGGTAAAACACGATTCTGTTAATGACGTTACAAGTGTAGGGGTCAACTATGGCAGGGTTAGACAAGGAAAGTTTTCCTACATCCAGTTACTCCAAGTGACTATAATTATCGCCCTAAGCCCGTCAATAATATAACCTCAATGCTCATCTCATAGTCTTCACTCGCCGCCGCTAGACTCTCCGTTATCAAATCCCATTTCTCAGTCTGTGACTCATCAAGACGGATCTACTCCCCGGCTGGGAATTTACTACTACCTCATCTCCATGGCATGTGTTGTTGTTTTTCTTCTGTGGTTACCACAATATATGCAAAGCCCAGGTCGCATAGTTATGATAGGAAACGGGTCCGGAGGTACACATTACAATGTATACGAACCTCAAACAATGAAATTTCCCGAACCGCCGACATACATACGCTCAAACAGGCACCAGGCTAGTTTACCCGCCACGTATTACAGGCTATACTGCTCAGCCAAATTTAATAGTCGAGAAATTGTACAAAATATCAACACAGGAATGAAGGATTTTACGTCAGAGCCCTATCCAGTTGACAGACTAGAGAGAGAAAAGACTGAAAAGTGCAGGACTCACATTACTATCTTACATAACAAAGGTAATAGATCGAATATGATAAAGTACTCAAAGATTAGCAAAGCAAAATGTCCTCCGAAATCAATCCTTAGCTTGGCAGATTCTAGTTACATTTCATTAAATGAATTTCAGAACAATCTTTCCCCCAAAAACTCAAAGGCCAAATTTCAAGTTATAATCGATGATAGATTCCAGATGAAAGACTTAATCACTCGCCAATTTATGTTTCAAGGATCGAATTGGTTGAAAAGTAAAGTAGCTCTTGCTTGGTATCAAGGAAATTTGCATCTGTTCCAACAGAAGAATGATGTCAGCTGGTATATCCTAACAGAAGTGGGCCAAGCGGAGAAGAATGCAGGACTTCTATATTACTTTGTGCTTGGAAAAGACGCCACTATTTGGAGATCTAATAATTTGTACAGAAAAATTAAAGAAAGGTTGGCAGGCGTGGACTGGAAGCATATTCAGGAACATTATACCAATCAGATATTTTTCAATGAAGATCAAGTTCAAACAAACCTAAAAACGATTTCCGGGGCCCTGGTGCCAACCGTTGCCGAAGGCAGACTTAGCGCAGTGAGCAGAAAAATATAGCATGTCAAACAATATACATTCACACATACATGATTAAATGCGATCTGAACATCAATTCGCGATCTTATTCAAATCAAAAGTCCATTGGATATCCTCTATGGCGCGTTTTATGAAATGATTTGAAGGTTTCTTTTAGTACCCTTGAGTCGACTAAAACTATAGAGCTAACAACTTCATCTATAAAAGAAAGTATTAGGGAAAGGAGTTTGAAAAGACAAATCTTTTGTTGCATGCGTTTAAATCTGGAACTCTTACCAAAATTTACGTTTGCCGCAACAGGAGAGATCTAGAGTTGCTGTAACTTATCTTTTTGTGCTGGGCTGCTACGTCGACGCTGTTCGTAAATTTGCGTGCTATATGTTTGGCTTCTTCCCAAACCCAGTAAAGCTGAAGCTCCACTGGTTACGGGCTGGATCAGGCCAACTACAATCAAGTAAAAGAGGCTCTCCCCACTTGAATGGTGGAAGCGGCTCGGTCTTCATCCATTTTTTCTTGGGTATAATCATGATCTCTTATACCTACAGGCCGAGTCTTTTTTTTGAATCAGATTTTGAGAGTGTATGTAGTTATTTATTTTTATTGTCTACCAGGCGAAAGTGAACGCTATTGCCCCACCCCAGGTGGCACACCGTGATTGCTACAAAAAAAACAATGTTTATCTACAGTTGGATGCCGAGAGACCTTGTCAGACCAGGATTAGAGCCCGATGAAATCCGTATTCCTTACTTTATGTCTCGTGGCTCATGTAAGTTCCATTCTTCTAACATGATCGTAACATTATTCATTATCTTGTTCATCATCATTGACTCAATCATCCATTACATCATTAGATCATTCTTGATCGCCATGGTCCAATTCTTCCATCCCATACACGCGTACCAGTACATTGATCCCCGTACCCAAACCCGAGAGATCAAGTAGCATCATGGCTGCGTACAACCAGCCGTCGTCCTCGGCGTCAATCGATCCAGGCGACCATTTACATCCGTGCCTTCTTGGGATTGCTGCCGCCATGGAGCAATCGGATCGCCAAAGAGAGCAGCGAATGAGCCTAGCTCAGGATTTTCTGCAAAACATCGACGCCTGGGCAAAATCCAAGGCAGGAACCGAAGACGCGGCAATTCATTGAAAATATTTCTCCCATCATAAAAGCGTTTGAGACAGGTAACGTCAGTGTCGCAAACCCCCAAGGCAAGAACTCATCCCAGGAAAGTACTCAGATGAAAACCTCTGTGCCTAGAGCGACAAAAATAGCGGAGAAATCTCACACGAACTCCCTCAAAAGCCACGGGGGACTGCTTCACCGTGGATGATATTAGCCCGAAAAGCAGCCAAGCTCCCGGATCCGCCAGCTAACCTGATAAAGCGAAGGCCTGCCGTGCAGATAAAACCAGCTGGACAAGAGCCTCCGAAAGAAGTTAAACGACTCTTCGCTCGCATTGGGCGAGAATATCGGTAGCAGAGGCTATCACCTATCACAATCGAGTGTCACAGTTCGAGGTGTAGATGCTGGAGTGATCAAATATACAAAGGTTGATTATTATTTTCTATACCACAATATGTGTGTCCTAACTCAACTATTTATACACTTATTAGGCTATCTAGAATATTCCTTCCTGTCTGATACTAGCTTCTCTTATGTTCCCCTGATACCAGTTCACAGTCTCACTGCCAGTTGCTAGAATCTTCTAGTCATGTTCAGAATAAACTAGAGTGAAGTTTCGCCTTTCACAGAATTGTTGAGGCACGTGATTAACATCACGTGATACAGGACAATTATTGGCTCACTAGCCGTTACATCAAGAAGCTCATCACCGAAAAAGCTGGAGTTGCACCTTCAGCAATCATGATGATGACACAAGTTAGTTCTGGCCTAGCAATGGAGTGCGCATCAGACGCACTCAGGGATTCGATTCTGAGTGTGGGTCCTTCACTTCAAAAGGAGGAAATCACAATTGAGCCTGCTTCAGATTGGACGTCCTTCATGGTCCCTTATGTCCCAATCTGCATCCGTACATTAGACAGAAGGATAGAATTAAAATTAGGAAGCTATTCTGCTAGCTGGATAATACACCTCAAACAGGTGCCATCCAACCTGAGATTCAGACTATTCGACGAGATTGGGCCTGCCATTCCATTTTCTCGTCAACGCCCTATCAAGCAGTGTCAACACTGTTGGGAATACCACTCAACAAGAAACTGCGTCAAATGACAGCAGTGTGTTAAAATTTCTGGTGCACACAAAGTAGCAGAATGCACGGTCAACATCCCCAAGTGTTCAAACTGTGCTGGGCCGCACGAATCAACTCACTTGAGCTGCATGGCTCGACCAAGGCGACATCACGGTCAAGTAACGCCTCGATCACTAGCAGAGCTATGACTTATTTGTCAGACAGAACATCTGGATTTCAAGGCAACATTGTTAAGATCTCAAGAGAAAGGTAAGGTCTGTGAGGTCATTAACATACTAGAAGAAATAATGCATGATAATGAGTAATACACCAAACTCATACAATCACAAACAGAGGCATAGCACCCTTCTCTTTCACCAAGTGAATATGGGAAAGGGCGGACCAAACATGGACATAGCGCTGCAACAAGCTTGGGATGCAGAAGTACACATATTAATGGTACAAGAACCATGGACCTTGCGAGAAGACGGAGATTTCACTACGAAAAGCCAACCTGGCTTTAATAGTTTTATACCCTTCGGAAATTTGGTACCGAGATCACGACCACGAGCCGTTACTTTTGTCAGTAAAGGACTGCAAGAGACACAGATTACACCTTTGTCATCAAGTCAGACATCAGACTATTGCTCCGTGCAGGTGTCCGGACTGACCTTTGTAAACGTCTATCATGCCCCAGGCCCAAGCGGGACTTTGAATCCTTAACCAAACTGGCGTCCCAGTGGGCCTTCAGTAATGGGAGGCGATTTTAATTCAGTCTCACAGCACTGGCAACCGTTAATAGAACGCCAATACGGGAATGGTGATCTCATCATGGGATGGGCCCGCAAAAATAATATGCAGCTACTAAGCACCATTGGAGAAAGCACCCACCGAGACGGAATTGTGCTAGATCTAACCTGGAGTAAGACGACGGCCTTTGCATCAGTCTCAAACCGCTTTCACTGTACATCAGACTACTCTACTAATGAGGGCTTAGTTGATACAACTGGGTACTCGGAGCCATCTAGAATCCCAAGACTAACCCGCATTATAGACTGCGATCTAGATGAGTTTGCACAATGCGTGGAGCAACGGGTAAGGCCTGCCCCGCTAAGTAGTCAAATCGAGATTGAGGACTTTGCGAGGAGTTTAATTCGAGTACTTCAGGATGCAACCAAAGTTGTCGGACGAGCACCCACTGTAGGAAGTGGGAAAGCAGTGCCTTGGTGGACTAAGGACTACAAAGAACGACAGGTTTACTACAGGGTAGCTAAAAGGACTTCTGGAGATATAGGAACAACACGTAGGGCTTTCCGAGCCGCAGTGAGGTCAGCCAAACGCGAATATTGGACAAAGCAAGTCGAAGCAGCAGAGACAGAAGCACAGGTGTTCAAACTCATACGATGGGCCAAACCAAAGCCGACGAAACAGTCTCTTCTCCAGGTATCACCAAACCAGTGGCTTTCAGATCCACTCGAGCGGACTATCGCACTGCGTAATTCCCTCGGAAGATTCGACGCTAGACGCGATGTAGAAACATAGGAGAATGGTCAACCAGAGTCTATCCCATGGAACAGAGAGGTCTCGTTGGAAGAAGTCACAGCGTCAACCATTGGAAGTAAAGAAACGGCTCTGGGAATGACAAAATCACCGTCCGATTACTCAAGGCTTGCTGGAACTCGATTGGAACATATGTCAGTGACCTCTTTCAGGCATGTCTGAACTTGGAGTATTTTCCAACACCTTTCAAGGTGACAGAAAATGTACTTCTTCCTAAAATTGGACGCTATCTCTCGAGCCCAAAGGGATGGCGACCCATATCGTTACTCTCTAGCTTAGGCAAGGAACTGGAAAAGCTAATAGCTAAACGGATGTCCTGGCTTGCGCTTAAGTACAAGGCGGTACCTTTCCAACTATTCGGCGCGCTACCAGGTCGCTCAGCAGTCGACCTGGTATCATGTGTTACACACGATGCAGAAGCTACAATGAGATCCAACTATCAGGGGAGGCGTACTACTTGTGGTGAATTTTAAGTTATATTTAATCTAAAAAGAGAAGACTCTCATTGCTACATAGAAATTACAAAGAGTACGGAATCCCAGATTAACTTTATGCCGAGTTTAGCCCAATTATAGTGCATCATTGAGAAGAGACGAGCGCCTAGATATCTACAGGCTACGACTGTCACACCAACAAAGTCACAGCCATGGCTATGCTGGACATTTAAGGTGCCTTCGATGCAATTCTACACAATAGGCTGCTTGCAAGAATGCGAAGTCAAGGCTGGCCGATACTACTCTATCTCTGGGTAGAATCCTTTCTGACACAAGGAACAGTCTTGGTAAGACATGAACAAGGCGTAACAGATGAGAAGCTTGTTGAGTGCGGTGTCCCTCAAGGATCAATAATTTTGCCACTTCTATTCATGTTAAACATGGAATTGTTTGAATGGAATGGCTTTGGTCAAACTACGTCGTTTAGTGAATCTTAGCGCTTCATTGAGAGCTGTTTTGGGTTGGGTATTTCCTCGGGTGTTTGAAAGGCAGTCTCAAGTAGAACCACAATGTTTCTAGAAAGTATCAGTCCTGATACACTGTGGGAAGACGCTCTTGCACTTCATCATCACACATAGATATTCTCAGGAGACATATGTATATACAGTGGCTTTTCTTTCGACTAGGATAGACAGACTTTCACCAATAGACTTTTACTTAACATCTTTCAATTGATCCTAAGGGTCTAAAAATTCATGTTATACATCTCAATTCTACTCGAGGATGGCACTCCAAACTGTAGATTCGGATATGTAGACAATATCGCCATTGTATG